AATGAATAATATAAAAAAGGGTAATATTATATACAGAAAGGTTCTTTTTATGAAATATACAGAACCTATGTGACAAATAATAATTAATTCTTGGAGTTGGTAAACACTCTGTAATTCCTGCCACCCCCAGCCTTGGAACCAAACCATACATACCGTATCATACCAAACAACAATACTCACGTTTTGTCATCTGTCAAAAAATAAGATTATTTTTCCAAAAAAAATAATAGTAATAGGGTTGTACAACAAATACATATTAATATTATATATAATAAATAAATAATTAGCATGTACGCGTTTGTTTGTTTTTTAAAAAAATAAAAAAAAAATCATGAGAGAAAAGGGAACAAGTTGATTTGCCCTTATTAAAAAAGCAGAAAGATTAAGTAGTAAGGTTTATTTTTTAGAACAAGAAAGAAAGAAATTTTTGCTATATTGAATGAGAAACTTCTGCAAAAAGAATTAGAAGAAATTAAACAGCGACTCCAATCAGCAAAAAGAAGAAAAAAAGAAAATAATACTGGTGCTGTCACAAGTAAATGTTTATCAAAAGAATGGTGGTTATCGTCACTCTAGTTAACCAATAATAATACCTGTCATTATTCATGTTCTTTTTCTTCTTATAATGTGAACAGTCAAAAGATTGTTAATACAATAACCCATCAGGCGTAAAACTATCGGAAAAACAACATGACATAGTGGTCAATAAACATGAGAATGTATTTTTTACTGGTTCTGCAGGAACTGATAAAAGTCATGTACTATTAAAGATTATAATAGCTCTTAAAAAATTTTATGGAGCTGAAGGAAGCCTTCTCAAGCCCATCCAAGCGAACACATTCATGCTGTTCGTCAGGAGATATGTTTTCAAGTCCTAATTATATGTGAGTGCAGCAAGCGTTGTTTGGTTTATTGTTTCCCGTTTTTTGCTCTGTTGTTTATTAGAAAAATAGTGTCGCCATTGCCTTTCGTTCAGGTTATGCTAATCAAGACAACATTCCTTGATTTGAAGATGCTGGGTGATATGCCAAGTATAAAAGATTTGCCAATCAGCCCTTTGTCCAGTACGGTAACTGGTCTGTGTTCTATGCCTCCAAGAAGCCAAGACGGCGGAAGTTACTTCATATTGTCCCACAAAACTTATAATGCAATTACCAGTGCATATGTGGTGATGGATGTTCCGTGCCTTTATGAGCCATCATAGCAACGTGGCAAATGTCACGAACAGCAAAGCCATTTTCTTCATGGCGGGAGAACTGTTTGTTGGCAAGAAGCTTATGCAAATTATTGCATCTGATATTGAATGGACGTATCCATTCGTGGAAAGAGACACCACCGATGAAGGAAGCAAATGTCCTGATGCAAGAAGCCGAAATTGAAGCGCTTAGACTTTGAGGAGAAATGTGTGGAGGGCTCTGGGAACCAAAAAAAAGGTCTGCGAACTACCATTATGGTGGTTACAATGGAGAGTCGAGTGCAAGCACGCAAAAAAGGGGCACGGATACAAATTGTGAAGAGCAGGAAGGAGTGCCTCGAGAAACAACTTGAGATCGACCAAGATTTGCAGATGCAGTGAGTGTAGTCGTTAACAACAAGGGGAAAGGTCGCGAAAAGGACATTGAGAAATTGATGGATTCTCACGAGGAAAAATCTTGTGAAAGCTCCGACACCGAATAATCTTTAGTTTCTTTTTTTTTTTTAAGCATGAAATGTTTATTCTATATACAATAAGAATTATCATTAATAGTTTTTCATATTTTTAGCCCGTGTAGGTAATTTATTATAAAAATTATCGGGTAGGTCCTATATAATCACTGGCAGAAATAAACAAACTTATTTTTGCAACTTTATATTATAATCATGTGATACAATCAGTTTATCGTTTAATAATAAGTCGGACCTACTTGATAACAAGAACTTGAATTGCTAGCAGTAAAAACCGATTTTACAAAATTAAAGACATCTATCTATATATCTATTTACCTACCTACCAATATTGTAAAGGGGAGGTCCTTGCAATATTCGGAATTAATTTTTGAATTAATAATTTTGATTGGTCGATTGTAAAATATAATGTGTGCAACTGAATCAAAAATTTTTTAAAGTTTAATTTCATTAGTAATTTTTTTTTTCAATGATTATGAATTGATAATAATAATAATGGCACAAATTAACAAAGATTTAGATATAGTTGTATTTGGAGCAACAGGTATGTTAAAATAACTATAGTTTTTTAAAAAAGTTGCATGCAACCTTGAAATTTTACAAAAAAAAAAAAATATAAAGAAAAATAGTTTATTCTTTTTTTTTCTCCTTATCTGAAAAAAAAATTTGAATGAATTATAAAGGTTTCACTGGTCGATTTGTTGTTGAGGAAATATGTCGTACAGCAAGTGACATGAATAAGTTGAGGTGGGGAATTGCAGGACGTTCAGAACAAAGACTTCAAGAGGTATCCAATATTATAGGTGTTGCTAGTGGAAATAGTGTTCGGCAACCAGAAATTATTATAGCAGATGTTGAAAGACCGGAAAGTTTAAATAAGATGGCAAAAAGAGCTAAAGTTGTAATTGCATGTGTTGGTCCATTTTTTCTTTATGGTGAATCGGTGGTTAAAGCTTGTATTGAGAATGAAGCTAATTATGTTGATATCGCAGGCAATAATCAATTTATTATTTTAGTAATGATTTTGTTTATATTTATATATAGATTATGTAATGGTGATTCATACATATAAATATTAATTACATACTTTTATCATATATATATATATCCTCTTTAAATATATAAATTATAGGCGAAACTGAATTTATGGAACGTATACAATTAAATTATAATGAGCGTGCAAAAACGAAAAATTTATCAATAGTAGTTGCATGTGCATTTGACAGTGTAATAATAATATTAATAAATAATTTTGCTACTATTTTTTAAATAATCATCAGTTAATCCTTTTATTTTTTATTTTTTTTTTGATGGTTAATATGAATATATATAGGTCCCAGCTGATTTGGGTATATTATTTACAAAACGTCTATTAGAATCACAAGGAGCAATTCCTTCTCAAATTGAAATGTTTACAAGCGTTCACTGTGGTAAAGCTGGTTTAGGAGTTAATTTTGGTACATATGCGTCTATAGGTAATTATAATAATAATCATAATTACAATAAATTTTATTTTTATTATTTTATTAAATAATATTAATAATATTTACCTACATAATGAACGATGCAAAAACATTATAGTGCATGGTATTAATAATGTTGAGAGATTACGTGAATTAAGAAAAAATGCCAATCGGCCTAAAGTTCCTAGAATTGGACCACCATTAGAAATCATTCGATCACATAAATGGGATGATCAAGTAAAGGGATATATTTATCCATCATTTCTTACCGATCCAAGTATAATTAGGTTGAGTCAAAGCTTAGATATTGAATGTCAAACAGGTGTGCCACCAGTTCAACTTGCCGCGTATCTTGTGTTTCCTAGTTTTAAAAATTTGGCAAAGATGGTGTTTGCAGGAGCTTTATTCAAATTTCTTGTTAAATTTTCTTGGGGAAAATCACTATTACTAAAATATCCTAAAGTATTTACTTTTGGTAAGTTTTTTTTTTTTTTGAAAAATTTACATATATAATATTTTATTATTTGATATAATATATATATATATATATATATCGACACAGGCACTTTTTCACACAATGGACCTACGCTTGAACAAATCCAACAAACAAGTTTTACTCACAAGTTTGTTGCGAAAGGAATTCTTATACAATCAACAACAACAAATCTTAATCTTCATGATGATGATTTATAATCAAATGCTTCATTTGAGAGATTGTTACCACCACCATCAGAGTTAGAGATTGTTACTGAAGTTACAGGACCAGAACCTGGATATGTAACCACACCGATATGTGTAGTTCAATGTGCTTATACCATACTAAAAGAAGGTGGCAATGTCCCAAAAGGTGTTTTAACTCCTTCTTTAGCATTTGGTAAAACTTCCTTGATTCAAAATTTAATGGAATATGGAATTAATTTTCGAGAAGTTGATAAATCTTAATTATGTTTAAAATAATTTTTTTTTTTCATACTATAATCTATAAAATATTTATTTTGATGATTAAAACCCCTCCTTTATATCAAATTTTCTCATTTCTTTAATGTACAAGTATAACAATAATTATAATTTTAAATTTTATTAATTTTAATATATTAATGAATGAATTATTAAAAAATCAATTAAATAAATATTCTAACCCCCCCCCCCCATTTAATTATATAATACACGGAAATTTAATAAAACTATAAAGCATTATGATATGGAGCGTTTGATGCAATATAACGTCCATCATCATCATAATTAATAATAGGTGATAATGTGTCTTTATTGTGAAATGACAATAATCTGTCAAGTTTTTCTTCCATGGAACTAATTTTGGATCTCAATTCATTTTGAACATGCCGACAATTTTCACTACAACTACTACTAATATTGTTATCATTATTTTTTACTTTTTTATGGTCATCGTTTTTAAATTTATCATAATTAATATGCTTCAATTTTCTTGATTTCCATTTATTAACTTCTTCAATGTTAATTTGATAATAAATATTTTTTGGAAACCAATCTTGATTTCTTTGTTGTGATGAACTAATAAAAAATGTTTCCACTTCTGCTATTAGCTCAGCTCTCAATTTAAGAAAAGCTTTTTTTCCATTATATTTAGCATCAGAAACAACATCTGACATGATTGCGATCATAATATTCTGCATAACAATAACCAAAAAAAAACTAGCAAAAAGTGTTATTATTGTAACCGGCAAAAAATCCCAATGATCAATTTGATCCCATTGACCATTCGTCCAGAAATAAACCGCCTTCGCAGATGAGAAAAAATCGTCAAAATAGTTATTTTCAACATTTTCAGTTATCACCAAGTCGTTTTTAAATAATGTTTGTGATGGATCCCTAAGTGTAAATGATGTACCTTGAGGTGCTACGCCTATAAGTTCAGGTCTACTTAACAATAAATACCTACATTTGAAAAATATCTGATAATTAGTGTTTTTGTTTTGGTGACATTTGAACGAGAAAATAAATTTTTTAACTTACATTGTATGGGCAAATCCGCAAACAATGAGAAGCATTACTCCCAAGAAAGGAAAAATCTTTTTCAAAAGATTCAATATAACGAAAACATAAATACCGATTACTAAAAAATAAAAATCAAAAGAATTATCAATTTTACTGACTATAAAAAGTAAAAACGAAACAAATAACTTCATTTGATTGTCCTTACTTGGTAAAGATCGCATTCTCAACAACTATTAGTTTAAAAATAAAATAAAATAAATTTCAAATATAAAACCAAATTAAAAATAAAAAATAAAATAAATAACCTACCAATTCGAGCCATAATACTAAGATGGTCATTGATAAAAATATCAATAAAGGTCTGCTTATAGGAATATTTTCAAAACCGTTAGTTGTTTCATCTTGAGCCATGGACATTAAGAGTGATCTTAGAATGAGAACAGTTCCGGCCATTGGTAGAACACAAGCCATCACATCAAATAAATTGTACAATCTAATGTATTTTCGTGCCAACAATAGGCATTGTTGGATCTCAAGCACCAATAAAACGGTTCCCATACTGATTACAATAACCACTGATGGAATCATTGCAATATAAAATAATATATCTGTTGCTTTTATTTGTGTTACATAGCCGTAACAAATAAATCCGAAACATAATTGATAGAATGAGAATAGTAATAGCAATCCATAAATGTAATTACGAGCATATTTATTCCATTTGAATTCTACTATAGCTTCCATGGCAGGATTATCATAGATAATGTCATTTGTATCGGCTAATACCATTCTCAAGAAACGACTTTTTCTATTGAACCTTAACAGTATGCTTCTCCCGCTTGCCTCTTCATCTCGTTTCGGCACTGTGAAATTTGGTAATGGTACCATGCATGTCATAATTAATGGAGTTGCATCATCGATGTTTCTCTCGTTTCTCTCATGTTTTGAAACTTGATTTGTCAATCTTGTGGGAATATCAAGAAGTGGTTTCGCGATAATTAGTTTCTCTGAGGTTCGCAGTGATATGGAATCCATTTGGACTGGAATATCTTTTAAACCACATTTTCTTCTGATAAAGTTTCTAATTTTAATCCAAAATTTTTTCGCTGTAGATGAAGGAGACCTTAAATTTCCAGAAATCAGATGTGCTGCTTCCTTTGAACCGAAAATCTGTCAAAATTTGTATCGTTAATGAATGAATATCCAATAATAAATAGACATGCAAGCAATTATAAAACTTACCGGCTGATCGAATAATCCTACAACATATTCTAAAATAACATAATTATTATAAATTATAAATTTATAATTTAATTTATAATTGAATGTAATTTTTAATTCACCCTACCTTTATAATTTCGATAAAGAAAAAGTAATTCTTCGGAGACTGTTGACATCCAACCAATATTATCATTTGCAAGGGCAGAGTAATAAGTGACCAACTCTTTAACTATACCGGGATTTTTAGTTAAGATTGCAAGATGCAAGTCATTTAATTTTTTTTTAGTTGAAGATCGTTTTTTAGGAGTTCCAACAATAAATGTTTCCTGACATTCTTCTTCCGACCAACCGAGTTTACGTGGAATATGCAATTTATATTGCTGTTTATCTTTCAATATATAACTAACCAATTTACATCTTGAAACTATTAAATGAGCCATAATACATTCTTTGGTGTCAATTAGACGCCATTTTTGTGGATGTTTATCAATAAAATCTTTTAAAATTTTAATAGTTTCTTGAATCGTTTTTTCGAAATATCTTTTTCTTCTATTTGATAAATTTTTGGCATCGTTATGTTTATCGTTAAGAAATTTCATGGAACGACAAACTTCTTTAATGTAATTGTTACTTCGTGGTAATTTTATTTCTATATCATCATTATTATTATTATTGGTATTGGTTGAATTGATTCTTAGTACATAAGAATTATATTGATGTTCTTCAAATATTATTTTAGTTATATTAGAATTGTAATTATTGGGAAGGGTCCAAATGTATAATAAAGATTTCCCTTTTTCCCAAACTTGCACGGACTGACAACCAATTATAAGTTGCAAGGTTTTTTTTACGTTCAACCAAATTGTAGTTTGGACTCTAGACGAGGAATCCCAAGGCTCGCTATCTTCAACGATCAAATTTGCAAATTCCTGAGATTGCTTAGCATCATTATCATCAAAAGTATCCAAAAGTTTTCCAAAAAGATCATAAATTTCATATCTAATTTTTTTTCTATCGGTAATAATCATCATATTTCTTACAATTTTACAAATTATTGTTGGTTTGAAACCGTTATGGTAATAGCTGTCATTACTATTATTGTCGAATGGAATTAGATCAACACCCGGATTTAAAGAAGGATAAACGAGAAAGTTTGAAAATAATCCAATTGGTCTATTATGATTTTCTTGTTTTCTACGTAGTTTATTATCATTGTCATCATAAATATTTTCAGAATCATCTTCATTGCAGTTAAATAAATCCCAAACAGTAGTATAGATGGTGTCATGTTCTTCTTGAGTTACAACAGCAAGTTTATTATCATTATCAAAAAATGTCATGTCAATAATCCTTGCATTTTTAAATTTTTTCATTGCAATATCCAAACCATTTTCAATTAGGAAGATACTAACTGCTTGCTTACATAATGTGACTGCTAATAGTTTTGAATTTTTGGATATGGTGATAATTGGTGTTTTAGCAGGAAAATTACTACAATTTGGACTTTGAAGGATATTTTCCAATTCGAAATCAATGCCGTGGTTTGGATCAAGATTATACATCTCGAGGAAATGGTGTTTTTTAGCATTTTTACGTAAAAAGAAAAAATCCTTGACAATGATTCTGTTCAATAAAGCAAAATTTGCCTTTATATCGTGAGTTCTTATTTGATTCAAGATTATTGACGAGTAATTATAATAGTGATTAGTGAATTTATCGTGTTTTGTGGAGGAGAATGGAGAGGAGAATACCAATCTGTGAAATCCTGATCCTCTTAACAAAATTAAAGTATTAGAATTGATAAATTTTATAATCCCGCCACCCATATTATTATATATTGATATTATTGATGATGGCGTGTTTATTGATTTATCAGTCCCAGTTGAAAAAATGTATGTCGGCGCTTTTTTAGTTGGAAAAACTAATTTTTGTGGTGATGGAAAATAATAATGATTATTATAATTGTGGTTGTTTATTTGTTGTTGATTTTGGTTCTGCAGTTGTTGTTGTTGAGGAGGAGGAGGAGGAGGAAGAGAGGAGGAAGAGGAAGAGGGAAAAAAATCAGCTTCACAAAGATATGACACAGCAATTAATGCATGACCTTCTTCATTTCTGTCAGATATGGCAACTGACCAACCAGATTCTTGATTAGAGATTATGTGTTCGTTTGGGGGATAAAGGTATTCACGTATTAAGATTCGATCCATATGTTTCGAATTAATTCTCCATATTTGTAACCTTTGACACTCTATAAAAAAATAATAATAAAGTGATAAAGAAGAAATTATCATTATTATATTAATATATTAATATCAGATATGTAATATAATTATACACAAATTTTTACCAATATCAAACGTTAAAAGCTCTTCGCCATTTGGACTGACATTGATGAAATATTTTTTTATAGGTGTCATATTTTATGATGATGTAGACGGTGATTAATGGTTGATATTCTAAACTTCATTAATTAATGGGTTAGAAGAAAAAGGAGAGAAGATCAAGAAGATCGAAATGTAACAAAAATGAAATTGATAAAATTAAAGAAAAGAAAAAGATACAAGCCGAAAAATTTTCGAATTGCTAATTATTAAATACAATAATAATTGTACAATGCTTTTTAGTGAAACATTAATATCGGGAATATCATAATGAAATGGTTCCATTTTTAGAAATCCCTATGAGAATGAACAAATTTTTTTAGATTATTGTTTACCTTAAAATTCTAAATAAGCATATTGAAG